GTTAAAGTGGTACTTGTGGGTACAAGTGGTGGGGAAGGCTTCTTATGCCCGTAATTGACTGACTACCCAGCCTGTATCCGCTCTGCTTTTATACCTTTTCCCTACGCGTCACGTTTCCCTTCCCTCTCGTCAGCCTTATGCCTCTATCCGACGATCTCATGTTTCATGTCTTCCCGCGCCCTGCTCCGTGCACACGGTGTCGCGCCCCGGCAGGCCGCCATACGTTGGAATCGCGTCGTTCTTCTCGTGATAATCGTTACTTGTTGGTGGGGATAGCGTCGGTGTGTCGTATCGCTGGTTTAGGGTTCACGGAGTGCTTGGGTGGGTTTGCCCGGAAGGCGACGTCGCGAGCCTTTTGTGTAACGGTGTCGCGGCTAGCCGGGCGCACCTCGTGGTGTAACGCGTAATTTGATATTCCTGGGCTCCCGGTGCTCGGTGCTGGGCACAGGGTGGAGAACGTGGGGTCGGGCAGGTGCGGACCCGTCGGTGGCGGTCTGTGAAATCGGGCACGCGGCGTCGTTCGCCGTTGTGCCGGAGCCTGCATCGTCCGCCTAGCTCAGTAGGATAGAGCATGACACTCTTAATGTCAAGGTCGCGAGTTCAACCCTCGCGGTGGGCCGTTGGTCTTTTGCCCGTGTGTCGGTTGGCGGCGTCGTAAGTCGTGAGTCCGCATTTGGCAACGTTGGTGCCCGATTGGGACAAGGGGTCGTTCCTTCCGTACGGGTTGTGGTGTCGGGCGCCGGGTCGGAGGGGACATGAGGGGGTACGCAGCGCGCAGCGCAAGTGCCAGCCTCACAACGTGTCCGCGTGACCTCTTTCGAATCAATCCTAACTCTATTAGCAGGCCGCGAGGTCACTCCTCAGCGTTTGCATGCTCTGGCACAATCTGGGGCAGGAACTCTTGTACGAAAACGTCTGGGTCCGCGATAACGAGCGTTGGCCATCCCTTCACAATGGACTTCAAAGAACCCAGAATGCACGCCGAGTGCGCGGTGTCCGCCTATCTTCGACACGCCCCGACCACAACGTGTGGGTGCTGCAGCGCTGCCCACACATCCATGTTCTTGTTCTACCTGAGGCCCAGGGCCGCGACGGCGATAGCGGCACCGGCGTCCCCTTCCTGCCGGCTCTGCCATTGCTCAAGCACCTCTATTGGGCCGAAACATCATTCGGTGCAGCCCTCCTCCCCGCCGTCCTTACTGCCGCACCCAATGTCGAACAGATCTCCCTCGCCCGCAAGGTCAAGACGCCCAGATTCAATGCCCAGAGAATTGACCGTTCCGCCGCCTTCCCGCCTCTCCCTTGTGTCCGCTCCTCAGCTTGATACGTGTTCGCGAAACTTGTTTGCAAAAACTTTGGACCACGACTCTCCCGCAGCTCACCCACCTTACCATCTCCCGTGCGAGCCTCCACGAGACTCCAAACCGCCCCCTCTTCCCCACGCTCCGCGTCCTCGCACTCGTCACTGACCCGGCAGAGCGCGTATCCTTCCCTGCGATTCTGCACCACTTTCCCGCCCTCTCCGAGCTGCGGTACGATGCAAGCAATCCGCCGCTGATCCAGTCCTCGGGACCCCTGGCGGCGAAGCTCGTGCGTGTCCGGCTGCACCTCCCCTCCCCACGCCGGCGCCGGCCCCCGATCTCAGAGAAGACGTAACACCAAGACAACCGGAGCCATTGCTGCATCTTGCCATCGCGCAACGGTATCGTTAGGCGCCGCTAGAAGACCTGACGCCCGCCGGCGCGGCGCACAAGAACGCAAAGCTGCTTATGAACCCGATGTTCCCCGCGCTGCAGCGCATCGTCTTGGACGGGCCCGGGTGGGGCGGGTATGTGAATGGGACGGAGTGGGCGGGGCTGCGCGCGAGAGGGTGTCTGGTAGAGGATGGAGTGCAGTGAGCGGGTATTAGCCGCTAAGGACGCACTCGCGGGCCAGGACGGACTACGTTTGTGTATGCATTGTTTGGACCAATTCGCCGATATGTGGCCAATGACAAGGCCATGCCTTCTTCGCATCCCATTCTTTTTGCCGAAAAACCTAAGCTCGATTTTGCTCCGATCGGTGTAAGGGTTACGGATATCCGGCCCGACCTGCGGGCCGGAACGTGACCTTACAGTTGTCTATATGTATTGTTGTATGTTACATTTCCAGGGTCGGCTAGGGGTAACGAACTTACACCCTACGCTGAACTCTGGAACTGCTATTCGAATATAGACGGTTTCTGTTCATTCGGGGTGAATCGTTAAGAACAATTCACCACTCTTATACTTTTTTGAACACCTTTGGCTTACCAAGTAAGCCCTATATTTCACCAATACTAACTACGACAATTTTAAGAAAATGTCAAACGGCGGCTCTGCATCTGCAACGCCGACGTCTGTGGCAGGGACGTCCCAGTACGCCTCGGTGGCTTCACAGCCCGGAGGCGCACCTGCGGACGAGAACCCTACCCACATCCCACAAAACCCCAGAGTCAAAGTTCATATTGACTCTGAAGGGATCCCGTACATGCTCGAGCCGCGTACAGGCCAGCGGTACGATGTCTCAGACGACGAGTCCGTCCAACCCCACATCCGGGGCCCAACGGCTAGCCAGCAATCCCTGCAGGGCTCATCTGAGCCCAGCGGTGAAACAGTGACGCTCGGTAGCACACTGTCCGACTCGTCGGAAGAAAGCCTAACGTCGGAAGAGCTGCTAGCAGCCCTGATCGACGACGTTGGCACTGGCGAGATGACGGAGGAGCAGCTGGCTCGTTTTAATACCATTCGGGGTATGTTGTCCTTGGGCCGAGAAGCCCTATTGACCACAACTGCCCTGGTAACGGGCATGGATGATACGCTGGGAGGGCTTGCGGGCTCCATACGTGTACTCCGGGACGAAGTGGCCGGTCGTATCGAGGAGCTGAGCGATGCTGTGATGAACACCTCAGCCCGCATCGACGCTACCCTCGAAAATAACATTCGCATACTACGGGCAACGGGCACGACGGGGACTCAACTCGCGCGACTCATTGATACAGTCAAGAAGCGGCGAGCGGACCCCACGGCGCCGATAGCAATGCCCCCGGTGCGAGACCTTCCACCCCATTTGACGCGCCCTCTAGAAGGGCTTCAACCGGAAGTCGACCGCGCACTATCCCCCAAGCGGTCGGGAGAATCCAATGAGGATTTCTACCGACGAGGCAACGCTAGGATGGGGCAGCGAGTAAGAGCTGCCCAAAACTTCACGCCGACCGGGTTCGGAATCCCCGCTGAGGCGGCGCCTGCGCCGCCCTCCATACTGAAGTCCACCCGGTTCGTGGACACCAGTAGTATATCCAGCGCTGGAACCCGAGATGATGAGACTGGATACCGCACTGGACGGGATACAGCCCCGATGGGATATAATCAATCCCCCTCGGGCTATATCACGACAGATTCGGAAGTCGGCACGCCTGCAACGGCGTTTGAGGTCCATCTACTGGAGAAGTTTGCGCAAATTAAGAGATTGATTTGGCGCCAACTGGGCGTAGCTCTGGAAGCAGCGCCCCGTGGTCCCAAGATGAAGGACCCCCCACTCTACAATGGCGAAGACGATGACGCTCTGTTCATGAACTGGCTCCAGTCGCTGTGTACTTATCTTGAGGGGTATTCGATGGGAGGCCCGAAATACGACTCTCATCGCGTGCTGTATTTGAAGCAGGCGTTGGGCAATTATGCCCTTACCTGGTTTCGCACAGAGGTGGACCCCACCAACAGGGATAGCGATATCCCTCGGGAATTTGAGGTCATAGTACAGGCCATGTACAAAAGATTTGTGACCTCGTCCACCGCGACGCGCGCGACCCGCGAGTTCGAAGCAGTACGGTATGACCCCGCTCAGGGCATTGAGGCCCTAGCCAGCGAGCTCAAACGGACCGCTGACGACATGCGCGAGCCACCGTCGGAATTCACCATCCGACAGAGGTTCATGCGCCTCATCCCGATAGACGTGCATAACGAGTTGATACGGCGGGGATTATTCCCCGAGTATACGAGCTTGAAGGTCTTGAAGAATCATGCCCGTACCACGATTGAAGGGGAGGGGCAGATGAGACGCGGTGCAGCTTCGAAAGCTGCCCCAGCTACTGCCACTGCCCGCACATTGGGGGCAAAGACAAGAAGCGCGCCGTCACGTGCGCCATCACGGCCAACTCAAACGGCCACGCAAACTCCCTCGCCCCGGACCGCCACCACCACGGTCAACCGCACGTCTCCTTCCGGCTATAACGCCACCATCCGAGGCCCAACTAGTGGGCCGACCCTCAAGAGCAGCAAGACCTGTTATACCTGCGGGCAAGTGGGACACATCGCGAGTGATCCCGCCTGCCCCAAATACAACGAGTCTGCCTCATTTCGCCCCCGTCCGGTAGCCCAACTGCACGCCCAACGTGTGATTTCGAGCTACGCCGCAGGGGTAGATGACGACGACGACGAGCCAGAGCTCGAGTACCTCGATGAGCCACGACTGGCCGAGGAAGACGACGAAGTCGAGGGCTTGTACGCTGAGTACGAGGGCTCTCAGTACGACGCTGACCTCGATGACTATCCTGGCGACACGGAACCCCACGCCGAACGAGCCGACGAAGAGGACGACCCCAACGAGGCGCCCGAACTCGACGACCTCAACAATGAGGAGAGCGCAGCGGTGCGAAATGGCGCCATGCGCGTTCGACATCACTTCTCACTCCGAGTCGAGGCCGCTACGGGTGAAACCGAGGGCGAGGAAACTCGCCCCACCCCGGAGCTACAGCCCGAGCGACTACCCAACGTGCGATACGCATTCGTGGACGCCGGGCGAGCGGATATGGAGAACGCGGGATACCCCGAGTGGTCTGCAGCGGCTGAGGCCGCGCGCGACCCTCTCACTCGTATCTCCCTCTTCTCATTCGAATCCCTTATGCTCGAGTTCACCGCTATGCACGGGGAAGGGCCTCATCTCGGCCCTGCCAGCCTGACTCTATCTGCCATAACGGCCATAGGCAGCGAGGAGCGAGCCCGGGACGAATGGATGGGCATAGTTAATCTACAGCCCACCATGGTCATCGGGTACTCTGACGCCTACCTGCGCACAACGGCCGTGAACCTCGACGCACTGAATCGGGAGTTCACTCACTTTGAGCATGGACTAGTCGATACGCTTCAACGGCTGGATGGTGCGATGCGACTTCGAGGCGCAGCACTGTCCTATATCAACGGACTCCGGGAACGGCCAACAGGGTCCAATTCCCGAGTCCCCGAGATACTTCAGATCGCCGGGGCTACCAATAGTCGGTTGACCGAAGATATCGGGCTTAGTGTCTCCCTATTTGAGCGCCGCCTCAGCTGGACGAGGAGTATGATCGACGCCATCAGCGAAGAGATTACTTTCCGACGTCTGGCACGCGAGGATTACCAGCGGCAGTTAGTTTCGGGCGCAGAGATGGTCGAGGTGGCTTCTACAGCCCCCGAATCTCCCCCTCCTTCGGAACCCCCCAGCTACCCTGGGTCCCCGCATGAGTCGGATGACTATTATGCGGTGGAGGAACGCCCTGTACTGTCTCGCGTACCGCGCTTCAACAACCCAGACTCCCCCGATGCCGAGAGCGATGAAGCCCACACG